AAATGGAAGAAATGACAAGATGAAATAACTGAACAGAAGATTTCAAAGAGCAGCTTAAGAAGGTAAAGTCATTTATTACAATGAAATGTGCAAATACCTGGAGTTAGAAAACCAATAGTGAAGAACATACTCAACATTTCTCAAGCTAAAAGAACTGAAGAAAAAATTTCAGCCTCAGTTATAATATTGAAAGTTTCTATGGGCAATATATTGAATGATGCAGGAAATATCAAAGAAGATGGAAGACATATAGAGTCACTGTACCAAAAAGAATTGGTAGATGATCATCTATTTCAGGAGTTGGCATGTGATCAAGAAGCAAGGGTAATGAAGGAAGAAGTTGAAGCTGCACTGATGGATTGGTGAAAAACAAGGTTCTGGGAATTGACAGAATACCCATTGAAATGTTTCAACAAATGGATGCTGTTCTGGATGCACTCATTGGGCTATGACAAGAGATTTGAATGACAGCTACCTGGCCAACTGACCAGAACAGATCCATATTTGTACCTATTCCAAAGAAAGGTGATCCCACAGAATGTGGAAATTATTGAACAATGTTGTTCATATCACACTCAAGTAAAATCTTATTGAACATAATTCAAGAACAGTTGCAGCAGTATACTAACAGAGAACTTCCAGTAATACAAACTGGATTCAGAAGGGGACATGGAGTGAAGTATATCATAGCTGATGTCAGATGGATATTGGCTCAACACAAGGAATACCAGAAAGATGTTTACTTATGTTTTATTGACTATGCAAAGGCATTTGATTGTGTGGATCACAACAAATTGTGGATAACATTGAGAAGAATGGGAATTCCAGAACACTTCATTATACTCACAATGAACCTGTATATAGACCAGGAGGGTGTTTGAACAGAACAAGGGGCTACTGCATGGTTGAAAATCAGGATGGGAATATGTCAGGCTATTTTCCTTTCAATCTGTATGCTGAGCAAATAATCAGAGAAGCTGGACTATGTGAAGAAGAATGTGGCATCAGGATTGGAGGAAAGTACATTAACAACCTGGGATATGCAGATGACACAATTTTGCTTGGTGAAAGTGAGGATGACTTGGAGCACTTGAAAAAATTGAAGTTGTCAATTCATATTACTTGATTCTACAATCCATGGAAGCAGAAGTCAAGACATCAAAAGACATGTTTCATTGGGTAAATCTGTTGCAAAGGACCTCTTTCAAGTGCTGAAGAGCAAAGATATCTCCTTGAAGACGAACATGTGCCTAACCCAAGCCATGGTATTTTCATTTGCCTCACATGCATGTGAGAGCTGGAAAAATTAATAAGGAAGACTGAAAAAGAGCTGATGCTTTTGAGTTGTGGTGTTGGAGAAGAATGCTGAAAGTACTGTGGATGGCTAAAAAAACTAACAAATCTGTCCTGGAAGAAGTGCAGCCAGACTGCTCCTTAGAATTAAGAATGGACAGACTTTATCTCACCTACTTTGGTCATCTTGTCAGGAGGCACCATTCTCTGGAGAAGGATGTCATTCTTGGTAAAGTGGAGGGTCAACAAATGAGGGGAAGACCTTCAATAAGATGGATTGACCCGGTAGCTGCCACAATGGGCTCAGGTATAGTAGGGATTGTGAGACTGGTACAGGGCCAGACAGTGTTTCATTCTGTTGTACATAAGGTTGCTATGAGTCAGAGGACAACTTGATGGCACACAACAACAACAACAACAACAATACATGTGGACTTCATCAGATCAAATGCACAGGAATGAAATTGACTTCATTGGTGGAAAGAGATGATGGAGAAGCTCGATATCATCAGTAAGAACAAGGCAGGGACCAACAGTGATTGTGTAACAAATCAATTGCTCACATGCAAGTTTAAGTTGAAGAAAATTAAAACAAGTCCAAGAGCCAATACACAACCTTGAGTATAACACACCTGAATTTAGAAACCATCAGAATAGATTTGATGAATTGAACAAGAATGACCAAAGACCAGGAGAGTTGTGAGGTGACATCAAGGATATCACACATGAAAAAAAAAAAATATAAATAGAGACAAAAATGCATGTCATATAAGATTATAAAACTTGCTATAGAACAAAATATAGCTAGAGAGAATGGAAGAAATGGTGACATAAAAGAAGTGAACAAAAGATTTCAAAGGGCAGCTCAAGAAGCTGAAGTATTATAATGAAATGTGCAAAGAACAGGAGATAGAAAGTCAAAAGGGAAGAACATGATTAGCATTTCTCAAGTTGGAATACTGAAGGATTCTATGGACAAAATATTGAATGACTCAGGAAACATCAAAATAAGATGGAAGGACTACAGGAGTTACTGTCCCAAAAAAGAAATGGTTGATGTTAAACCATTTAAGGAGGTGGAATAAGGTCAAGAACCAATGGTATTGAAAGAAGAAGTCCAAGCTGCACTCAAAGCACTGAAGAAAAACAAGCCTCCAGGAACTGGCAGAATATCCATTGATATGTTTCAACAAATGGATACAGTGCTGGAGGTGCTTACTTGTCTATGCCAGGAAATTTGGAAGACAGTACCTGGCCAACTGACTGGAAGAGATCTATATATGTGCCCATTCCAAAGAAAGGTGATCCAACAGAATATGGAAAGTATTGAATGTCATTAATATCACATGCAAGTAAAATTTTGCTGAAGATAATTCAAATATGGTTGAATCATTATATTGACATGGAAATTGCAGAAATGCAAGTTGGATTCAGAAGAGAATGTAGAAAGAAGGATATCATTGCTGATGGATCTTAGCTAATAGCAAAGAATACCAGAAAGATGTTTACCTTTTCTTTTTACTAACTATGAAAAGGCATTCAACTCTGTGGATCATAGAAAATTATGGATAATATTGCAAAGAATAAAAATTCCAGAACACTCAATTGTGCTTATGAGGAACTCAAATATAGACCAAGAGGACATTCAAACAGAACAAAGGAATACTGCATGGTTTAAAATCAGGAAGAGTGAACGTCAGGCTTACATCCTTTCACTATATTTATTCCACCTGTATGGGGAACAAAGAATCTGAGAAGCTGGACTGTATGAAGAAGAACAAGGCATCAGAATCGGAGTAGGACTCATTAACAACCTGTGATATATAGACAACATAACCCTGCTTGCTGAAAGTGAAGATGACTTAAATCACATACTAATGAAGATCAAAGACTTCATTCTTCAGTATGGATTACCTAAACACAAAGAAAACAAAAATCCCCACAACTGCACCAAAAAGCAATATCATGATAAATGGTGTAAAGACTGAAGTTACCAAAGATTTCATTTTACTTAGATCCATAATCAACACCCAGGGAAGCAGCAATCAAGAAATCGGTTGTCATATTGCACTGGGCAAATCTGCTGCAAAAGACCTTGTAGTGTTGAAGAACAAAGATGCCACTCTGAAGACTAAGGTGCACTTAACCCAAACCATGGTATTTTCAATTACTTCATATGTATGTGAAAGCTGGACAATGAATAAGAAAAACTAAAGATGAATTAATGTCTTTTAATTGTGGCATTGGCAAAGAATTGTGAAAATACCATAATGCACTGTCAGAACAAACAAATCTGTCCTGGACGAAGTACATCCAGAATGCTTCTTAGAAGTGAGCATTGACAGACTTCATCTCACCTACTTTCATCATGTAGTCAGAAGGGACCAGTCCTGGAGAAGGGTATCATGTTTGGTACAGTGGAGGGTCAGAAAAAAAAGAGAACACCCTCAAAGAGATGGGCTGAGACAGTGACTACAATGATGGGCTCAAGCATAGCAAGGATTGTGAGGATGGCACAGGACCATGTAGTGTTTTGTTCTTTTGTATACAGGGTTGCTGCGAGTCAAAATTGACTCGATGGCACATAATAACAACAGCCAGAAGAATCACCAAATTTGTCTTGGAAGATGTACAGCCTGAATACTCCTTAGAAGCATGGGTAGTGAGACTTTGTCTCTAAGATTTTGGTCATTTTATCAGGGGGAAGAAGTCCCTGGAGAAAGATATCATGCTTGGTAAAGTAAAGGGTTACTGAAAGAGAGGAAGATCCTCAATGAGATGGATTGACACAGTGGCTGCAACAATGGGATCAAACATAACACTTGTTGTGAGATTTCACAGCACCAGGAAGTATTTTGTTCTGTTGTAACAGAATGAGGTGTCAGAACTGACTCGACGGCACTTAAACACAACAGCAACATATTTACCCCCAAAATATTGTAAATTCTGAGTGAGAGAGAAGTAGTACAGCATGGGTTCAGTTTGTCTTCTTCCTTCTTGAATACAGAAGACTCAGAGTTTTAACTTTTCCATTCATTATTTTGTGGAAATCATTCAGAATGTCACAATTCCAATTATTATTACACATTTTTTTCACAGTATTCTTCTTCTTTTTATATAATCCTTCATAATATTTATATTAAAATTCAAAGTACTGAAAAGAAATCAAATTCCTGTATCAATATATTTTGTTCTTTTCTGTTTCCACAAAAATAAAAATAGATTATCAGATTAAAATATATACCTTCACCAAAGAGATAGCTGCATTGTTTCATCCCACTCACACATTTTCCTTCCAGACAGATCCATTGGTTCTCTCCACATGGATGCCCATTCTGAATGAAAAGGTTTTCTGTACATGCTGCAGATGTTCCATTGCAAAATTCAGAGAGATCACATTCATCCCTGGGAGACCTACACTCCTCTCCTTTTGGCTTAAACTGATGGAGTACAATAAATGACATGGAATAAGTCAGACTGTGAACATACAACAAGAATTGATAACCTTACTGAATGTGGATTATATAGAAATAAATTTGGCCCTACAGAACAACTTTCACAGCAGTCTCCGTGAGCACATTTTGAGCCATCTGTCAGTCTACAGGTGCTTCTCACACAGCATGTGCCCAGCCCAACAGCACAATTCTGAAAGACAAATCAAATTATTTTAGGTACCTTCCAACTTTTATTGACCTTGAATAGATATTTTAGTAACAACATTATCTTGTATAATATACAGATAGATGCTTTAGGTACATTTTAGAAAATATAAAAAATAAAGCCTATTAGTCAGTCATTTACTAATAGACAGTGCCTACTATATGCTAGACCATGTTCCTTAAATCCCTAGAATAAATCTGGCTATGTTGGTGGTAGAAGGCTGGAGTCCACCACAGCCAAGGCATCAAAAATGCAGACACTATTTAAACCTTGACAGTTTAAATCTATGTAAAGGTTTTAAAACAATTTAAATCTCTTGACACAATGGCTGTTACAATGGGCTCAAATGTAGCAATGATTGTGAGGATGGTGCAGAACAAGGTAGAGTTTCAGTCTATGGTACACAGGGTCACGATGAGTCAGAACCAACTCTTTGGCACCTAACAACATCTAAACCTTGAATCTAAACCACCCCCTGAGGTCGCCTTGTAGCACAAAAAATAAAGGAGATTATCTGTGAGTATGACATGCTACTAAAACATATATTTGACACCAAAAAGTCAACAATTACTCTTAACAAGAAGGGGCAAGGGAACTAGAGTGCTGGAAATGAAACAAACAGAACACAATTAAAGAGAATATTGACACATTATGGAAAATGTCACTGAATAATTTCTGCAGAAATTGTTAAATGGGAACCTCACTTACTGTATAAACTTTCACCAAAAACACAATAAAATATTAAAATAAAACAGACATCAAACAGATAGATCTCTGGGTAAATATGAGATAAGCAGAAGTTATGAATTAAAAATTTCTTTAAAGTGACTAATTCTTAGTCAACTCTTATAGATCTACTATGTTTGAAAAAGTCTGTACTTTCTATGGTATACTGGAGGTTTAAAGGTTCATCTTTAGTTCTCTAATGATCAAGGGATGGAAGATAATATTATTTCTCATCATAACTTAAATTATCATCTTTATATCATTTATTCATATTTTTAAGCTCTGTTTTGTAGTGTAATTCATCTATAACCAATAAATCTGATTTAGCACTTTATATTATGAGAGCTAATCAGGTAACATACAGGAAAGGAGAAAATTTAAGAGAAAATATATCCACATACACATACACAACTTTAACATTTTTTAAATTACTAGGGCCTTGAAACAGGGATGCTGGGCAAAAATCTTAATAAAATACACAAAAGTGATTTGTGGATTTCATTAGTTTTAATATGAGTTATGTCAAAGAACTTATTATGACACACTGTACCTGCAGTATTTTCAGAGATATTCTCAATAAATGTTTTTGCTATTGGCTTCTATACGGGATTCCAGAGGGGAAAAATAATACCACAGAGGGTTAGGAGTCAGTTATATAACAGTTAATGTAACTAAGATATATTTATGTCAATTTAGCAAGGAAAATTTAAGATGGTTACATTGAGACCCAAGCCAAAGAAAGAAAAAAAGTGACTGGTGGTGGTGAAAATGATACCCAACTCTGCAGGTCAAAAACCAAACCAAACTCAC